CAATCTTTTAAGACACTACATAAAAAGCATCATAACTTTCAGGTACTTGATCACCTGAACAAGTCTTACGATTGCTCATTTATTCTCAACTTCTCATTTTACAAATGTGAAAACAAGGATAAGGCAGACAATTCAGTTAAAGCCCATATCGCAGCCTTGAAATTCTCTTCAAAGAATAACACACATTCTTCCTCCCTAGAATGTTCATAGATGATCTTTGTTTTCAGCATAGACAGAAAGACAATCGCAAAGGATTTTCAGAAAAACCAAAGCTAACTCTTTCACTTGTCACAATATGAACAGAAATCTTCCTGGAATAAATTACAAGTCCTCTGCTTCCTATAACAGTCTAATGAACACCAGAGCTTACTTAGACTCACCATATGAACACCTATGACTGCTTAGAGTTGTGAGTTGTGCCCCCAAAATGACCCTAGAGTCATGAAACACTTTCTCAGTTACATCAGGTCAGGGTTTTGATTGCTCTCTCCCCCACACTTGGCTATCAGGCTGCTGAATAAAAAGTGTTCCTGAGCTGGGCAGAGTGGCACACACCTTTACTCAGCTACTAGGGAGGCTGAGGCAGGAGGATTGCTTGAGCCCAGGAATTCAAATCCAGCCTGGGAAACATAGCAAGACCCTGTCTCTTAAAAAAAAAGATGTTCCAGAAACTTTTCAGTATGCTCCTTCTTTGACAGGACACAGATATGGCAAGTCAGCCATGGAATTCCATAAACTTACTGGAATCTGTCTTGGGTCTTAAGATTTAGGAAGATTTAATTCTCTGAGTCAAACACATAAGGGTTAATTCCTATATTTGAGCTGCCAAAAGTCTTACTGCTTCCTTCTAGGTCATTGGCTAGGTAGTTAAGGAAGCCAGGAGACTGGCCGAAAACAAACAACGCATTCACAGAAAATATTTTCTTCTAATACCTGTATACAGTGTATACGACAGTAAAGAAAATCCTTGTTTCTATACTTCAGAATAACAATTGCTGGCTTCCAAGAAAACTTTTTTTTTCACATTTGTGTTTGATTTAGATTTCCCTCTTTGATTCCTCTTGTTATGCACTAAAATCAAAGCTGGTGCTACTGAATGCAAATGTGCACACAGACTTCTATCTAGAAAAGAGTTAGCAGGTAGTATGCTTCCAGGCATGGTTCTATATTTAAGAAAACAGTGAAAATTGGGAATTAAATCACATCATGGCTCTAATACAGTAGTATGTCCTGTGCCTACTACCCATGTCATTGTTCAATTTAGTGTACTTTGAAAGATCTACACTCAGTGGCCATGATGTGTTTGTATTTAATAGCACAAAACTGATTTACATAGCAGTGTCTTTTCTTGCTATACATCCAAATAGTGCTCCATGGAACTGAACCCCAAACCAGTGTTTTTTAATCTATAAAGCTCACAGAATAATCATTAGCTAAATCTAAATTTTCTTCTGTTCAAACAGGATTTTACGGATCAACAAAATAAACAATTATTTGGCATTTCTCTCTTCTGTACTTATGTATACAAACATGTACCTAAGCACACGCAGGAGAATGTTGAATAACTTTATTTTGTTGAAACCTGTTTACACGTACTTATGTACTTGTATGTACTTATGGCAAGGGATGATTCACATTTTGCATATCAATGGAAAATGTTGTGTTGAACTCATTATGGAAAAACTTAATTGATTTATCAGAAAGGCCCTATCACTGTATCTACCTAAAGCATTGTCATGAAATCTAAGATTTCACATGAGTAGGAAAGATATTAAAGAGCGCACAGTTATATCTTCTGATACTTCAATTCTCTCTACTGTCTTTCCACAAATGGATCCCTTGCCTCTGCTTGAACACCTGGCTGAAAAGGATGTTCAATACCCAC